TTTTCGTTACCTGTGGTTTCAGGATCTTAACCTACTAATGGGCTGTGCTGTCACAATCATAGGATTGGTCACAATATACAATCCTCACGCAACTTCCATGTGTCCGTAACTCTATCCCACTGTACACGTTCAAAATAAAGAAATAATCCGAATATTTTTCACGTTATCACTAATTGTCTTTAACTTTAAAAAAAAAAATCCCTTATCATTCTTTGTCCTTAATTCTTATAAGCTATGTAACATTTTTAAATCACTACCGGTTTTTCTAATTCTTTCTGTCACGTCCTTCATTTTTAATGTTGGTTTTGTAATTTTTTTTTTTCATTCTTATGATTATATACGTTCTTTATATATTGTACACTAATATTAAAGCTAAGGTATTTTTAATTGTATCATAATTGATAAATAAGCTGTAATCGTTGAGCTGTATTTCGCAATAAAAGCTACGAGAAAACCGTAATGTGCGAGTGTGGTATTGGTACTTAACTCCGTGCCACGTACAACAAGTGCTTATAGGTCATGATTTGAAATTGTTTTCTCTGAACAACAATTTATTCCCACAATCAATGTATATTTCAAAACCGAAGAGAATTTCTCTTGAGGACTGGGTGCACGCGACTAACCTATTAAAATTAGCTCGGTAAGCAAAATATGTTTTTTTTAGATCTAATCGTTCACGTGATAATTTATGGCCTGTAATAGGAAGTAGGATCTATTTGGTTATGTTTATCACAGATACGGGAACTGATATTGGGATTTAGACGATTGACTACTATTGATTAGACTGGCCTAATATTGTTTCACACGTGGATCTGAAGCGAACTAGCGCAACAAGATTTGTATATTCAATGTAATACACACATATAACTTGAACAGTACACTGTGAACAGTAAAGGTACGTGATTTTTAAACGATACAACACATTCGACAAGCTTTTTCGCCGAAGTGAAACTAAATACATTTGTTCCAACACCGGGTCGATGGTCATTATTTTAAAACACACCAATCGCGACCAATAGACCGCTTCAGATATATACCTAATAAGATAAAGTGGTACAAAAACAACGAACAAATTAATAACTTATGCCGTCATTAATCTGTCTGTGCCAAATAGTGTACTCGACAAGTCGAGCGGTGTGTAGGTGAAATTGAAGATGTATTATTTTTTTTTATAAGTAATGTATCGACTTAAAGGACAATGGAAAACCAAAGAATTCCAAACATTACATATTATGGTTTAAAACCCATTGATCATTTCCTGTTCAAATAAGAGGGCATTTATAAGAAGAAGAAATGTCAATAGCTAGTATTTTTTTTTTGCAAAATTAGTACAATTGGTTAGTATGCTATAAGAAATAACTAGAACATGGGGCAACGTGAGAGAATGGAGCGTTCATTGACACTATACATCCAAATACGAATTTAGGATTTAATAATGAAGTCCAAGTCGGAATCTGCTGACCACTCACTCGGAGTGAGAGTTACGGAATATCTAAGACTTTGAGCGACCGTTTCTTTAAACTGATTTGGCAGGACGTAGATATGAACAGCGTTAATGTCAATTTAGCTGCACGGTCGGCTGTGGTGCGCGGTCAACGTTCGCGACCGGTAGTCAAACTCGGAGAAAAACGAAAAAAAAACAACAGTCACGATATTTTTTTCGAAAAATCTAAACCATTAAGGGCGATTATTATTATTATTATTATTATTGTTATTATCGTACACTATTATTAGGTACTCGCTACTATCGACAGTGCAATTACTGTCGACGGAGAGCGTCCAAACACACGATGGATCGACTGTTATGTGTGTGGGGCCGATACATTGTGGATGACGAAACATGTGAAGGTGTCGAGCGGCTCCGGGTTATGACCGATTGTCTGCCATTTATTCGGTCGGCCGAATCAAAAAAATGTACGTCTGCGGCCCGTTAATCGGCCGCGATTATTCATTGTCTATAATAATTGGGAAAAGCAAATAAATCGGTTGATCGGTTTTTTTTGTGTATACCTACGACAGAGAGAGAGAGAGAGAGAGAGAAGAGCTCTATACAATAATAATGACCAGAGATTCCCATGTACGGATGGCCTATCAATCAGCAGCACAACAACATCAGCTATACACTAAACCGTAATTAACTGTACCGGGGAGCGGGGCGTGTAATTTTCTGCCCCTCTCGCTCGCTCTTCTCATCTATAGTTTTCCTTCTCTATTTATAATATATATAATATATTTTCTTCTTCGATCAATTCGGAACAATATTTTTTGTATAATATACTTACATATATATATTTTTTTTTTTTAAACTTGGAGTGGGCGTACGCCATCGACCAATCAGTCAATACCGCGACGGCAGCGGTCGACAGAATAAAACGCATTTATATTATTGTATATATTAATAATAATAACAATAATAATAATCCGGAATATGTAATTCTTAAAAAGGAGAAATCTTAATAGATTATATACTATAATATGCTGCTTGCCACACGCGTGTACGAGTCCAAAGCCGTCATTACCGTTCGATAATCAAAATTACAAAAACAAAAATTAAAAAATCTCAAGCCCCCTCGGTCGTGCCGTTGGAATAATGTATTATAATTATTTTGACTGATTATTATAATATTGTCGGTCGAGTGAAGAAAATTGGACCTGATCAATCTCGAAGGGGTTTATTTTTTGTTTCTAAATAAGAACCAACATAATGTTAAATCAGTGTTTGGGCTCCGGCTTTGAAAAATATAACAACACATACAATAGTAATTTATTCTAACTCATTTGTTAAACGCTAATCAACACTAAAAATAATTTTACTAGTAAATTGACTGAAGAAAGTCATGCGTGTGTACGTACCCATCGTTACTACCGGGTATCTACGCTTGAAATTGCTATCCCAATGTTCACGAAGCGAAGAACCTATATATATATATATATACATATATTTTATACAGTATGCAAATGTATTATGTAAGTGTACCTATCTATAGAATAATCAATTCAAAAAGATGTTTTGTAAAAGTTAATTTTAGACAAAACAACTGACAATAGAAATCATAACGGTGCTCTGTAAATGCTTTAGAAAATACAATATTGTATAAGTACAACAGTAAAACTATAAAAATATTATTGCATTATACAATTAGTAGAAATAATGAAAATAATGAGAATTATTATTTTTCCTTTTATAAAATAATCAAGAATAATTGTAGTAACTATTAGATTGATCTTAATCACAACGTTTCAAAGTATCATTCTCAGTTATAGCCAAGTTATGGATTTAAACTTTTTTCAATAATATTAATTTAAAAAATTACAATCTTAAGCTAAAAAGATTGAACGGACTTCTCTAAAGTCTACAAAAGTACAATGAATGTTTTCAGATTTGTTTTTTTAATGCAGATTAAATAGCAAAATGTTTGTAGGTACAACTAATTAGTATTTGTTTTTTAATCAAATATTTTTGTTTTTATCATTTAGATAATTATGTTATTACAATAAACAATACAATTATAAAATATTAACTTAATATGGGTTTTTAGAGAGCTATAATATCTTTTCATAAATACCAGTAGTAATTTTTGTATAATATATTTTGATGACATTGCCAAATGTGATAACCTTTGACCTGTAATTAACTTTCCGAATTTTACGCTCACATTTGTTTTAGTCTTTAAGTTTTTTCATTATAAAATCACCAAATGGACGATTAGCCAAAGAGCTTTGTAGAATACAAAATCTTATTCACTTTGATCGTACACGGTAAAAAATAAAAGGTAAGCAAGGCAATTGTGTTGTCATCGTATCAAAATAATTCAGTACCATCATTTGACTACGAACACCTATAGTTTTCATATTGGTATTATTTGAAACATGATAATATAGCTAATATTATACAAACAAATATATATATATATATATATATATTTGTTAGAATATAAGTTTTGTAGAGAATGAGTCAGATTATACCTGTAGGTATGTCCCTCCTCGGATCGACCACTGTATTTCATGAGAAAATTAAAATTAGGTAATCAGTGGCTTCGGTGCAGAATTGAGCTGCGTCTTTAACTCCTATAATATTAATAGTGGTGTAGGTTTGGCACTTCTTTTAAAGGAGCAGGGACTAGGCACAGGTTTTCTTCGTGTCCCTTACTAGCTACAAGCGCACCAACAAGATGTTTCTTTACCATATTTTTATTATTATTATTATTTAAGGTATTATAATGTACAAACGGAGAGAGCCGTGAGGTCATTTTGGGTTGACCGCGCGCGCATGGCTGCAGCAGGTCGATATGCATATGCCATGCGGATGAGAACGAACGTCACGGAGGCGGCAGGTGCACGTGAAGATGACAAATCGGTCTACATGATCGAAATCCGTCTCTCACGGTTTTTTTCTTCATTTTTTTTATTTTACATAAATTATCGTATTCTCACCCGGGAGTGTTGTAGTCGCCGTCACCGGCACATTGTATGTATATTGTCCACAGAGACGCTCTTATTAATTTCGCCGTCTCTTGTGACCAATTCAAACAGGTGTGTGTGTGTGTGTATAGAAATTTCTTTCATTCACACATAAAATGGGTATATGTTTTTTTTTTACTCCCGTCGTAAATAATATTATATACACATATTATTATATTTAGTACTCTATTTGTTTCATTACCAGTTCATACACACACACACACTGATTGTGTTCTTTTGTGCACGCGTGTCGTCGACCTCCATGAGAAAAAAAAAAGGACACATCGTCGTGGTGCGAACGCAGCTACTATGTGTGTGTGTATATTGTGTTGTTTTATTTATTTTATATAATAATAGTAATAATAATCATATTTGACTACAATGTAATGGTATATTGTAGTGTTTTACGCCGCCTCAAAATCCCGAACCCCCGAAAAGCAGTATTCACAAAACTGTTGTTTACAATATTATTGAATAATGCGCGTTCCGAACAATGATATACCTGCGTTGCACATGAATTGGTGATTTTACTGTCTTACCTGTCTGAATTGTTCTTCGAACGTCCAAGATTGCGCCTCGCCCTTTCTGGACGTCATCGACGCCCCATTGTCAGACGTGTAGTCTTGGCCGGGTGGCGTCACGCTGGATCTGCTAGACCCGGTCGGCGAAATCGGGTCCGAAGGTCTTTTGGACGCGTAAGCAGCAGCAGCAACGGCAGAAGCCATGTTAAGACCGGTTGTTAATCCACCGCCACCCGGAAGTCTAGGGTACACCAAGTGCTGGAGCATGGAAGCCGTATGGCCCATAAGTCCGGGCGGAGCGCTAGCCAATCGTCTGGCCAACTGGTTGAGCGTTTCGCGTTCTTCGCGCTAAAACAATGTTCAAATAACGAAATAATAAAAACGGATTATCCGTTATAAAATAGAATGCCCCATAAACCTACAAAAAAAATAAGTAAGTCCGAATCACGTTTAATTTGAGAAACATTCTCTAATCTTTAGAATATTTCACAATATTTGATATTTGGCTTTGAACAATACTATTGTTCAGTTATTATTTGTACTAATTATTTTTCAAATTGTTGGGAAGAGGGAGTAAAATATAAAAACAAATTTTTATCGTTCAATAATTTTCTTTCCTCAACGACAAAAAAAAAAGATTGTAACAAGTTACAAGATATTATTTTTTACGGGTAGCGTTGCATTATACTACAGTTGTACAAACTAAACTAAATGAATCGATGATTCCAGAAAGGTCACGTTTTATATGAAACAAGTCATGTGTTTTTATCTGTTTTTATCAATTATGTAAAAGTTTTACAAAATTAACTCGTGTTGTTTGTGCTATTATCGATTCAAGTATTCTCTGAATATTTAAAAAGAACATTATCATAAAAAATAACTAAATTTGGTTTACATATTTAGTAGTTTAAGGAATCAATATACATTAAGCAGTTTCTTTTTAAATATCACATTTAATATCCCGTGATAGTTCTACAAAAAGTAAATATTTTATAAGTAGGTTGTACAACCCGGCTAATATTTAAAAACAATTTGCTATTTTGTTTAATTGGCCCATTTTTGTTTAACATGGCTACGGTAGGATATTTAAAATTTCAGGGGAAATTAATTACACACAAAGAACCGAATGCAATAACAATAATAGTTATTTTACCTGCATTTCCAGGATATCCGGTTCATCTTCCGGAGAACAACCATCGTCGGCCCTTCTGCGGTCTTCCTCGTCCTCCTCGTCAGACCCTGCTTTCGGTGACTGAAGCCAATGATAAGAGTGAGGCTGCACCACGCTGAGGTTAAGGTTCAAGCCGAGCCTCGAGCTATCCGTAGCGTCAGTTGTCATTTTTTCCGCTGCAATTTCAATTGGCGACTGATGTGTGTTCAACTGTTGCTCCTCTTGCTGAAAAAAATATCCATATTATTAAGAGTTTTTTAACAAAAGGGGCTTTAAAAAGATTTATGACTATGGCTGGCCCAAGTTCCAAATGAAGTTGTATGTAAACGATAAAATTTGATTGTACAGAGTTTTCCAGTATAAAAGGTAAGTAATAGGTTATTGGACATCTGGGGGACCCCCGTTTTAATTTTTTCGAATAGTCAAAAATTAAAAGTTTCGACAATTAAGTAAAAAGATAATGACTTAAAAAAATATATATATTCCCTGTTGTTCAGTGCAAAAAGATCACCTTAAAAGAGGGGTCACTTCATTTTCAGTCCTTTTCGGCCCTTACTCCATAAATTATAAGATAACAATGATTAGAGACAAGAAATAAGAAATAAATGATAAGTGATAAAAGATAAACGATAAAAGATGATTGATAAGAGATAATACATAAATGATAAGATATTAGTGATAAGAGATGTTGTAGTTAACAGTAACAATAAAGCTATATGACTATACTAGTGTAAGATTTTTAAAAAAAATATAGTTTTATAATTGTTTCTTATTTTTTTTTCAAGTCTTATTGATGTCGCCTATCTTACGTTAAATTACACGGTATGCAAGACCGATTGTAGCGTTGAGTTCTTCTTAAGATAATTTTAACCGGCCAACGTTGCCACTCGTATTTTTACGGTCAAAATAGTAATAATATTATGTCGTCAGTGCGACTTGTGCGTGTAGAGTCTAAAATATGACGTCGAGTATGCGTTTTGTGACACTGTCGCGCTAACCGGATGTCGCATAAACTCAAAGGTAACAACCCCGACAATAAGTGAATTAATAATACAAAAAAAAAGTACCATTTCGGTTGCTGATAACCTAAAAAAAAAAGAGAGAGTGGAAAAAAAATCTCAACACGTGTTTCATTAAGACTGCATTAGTCCAGTTGGCGTTCAGCCACACGTCACTTGGGCCTACCTCCGACGGTTTTGACACACGCATCGGTGGCGGTTTGCCGTTTATATAGTATTATTATCATTATATAATATGATGATGTACATTGTACAATAATAATAATACGAACTGAGACCGTCTGCGCATTACAGATTTTAAATATTAACAGATTAATTAACAACGATGCGCTATGCACACATGCACACGTACGCTCAAACAAGTAAATTATACATAACCCATCATCATTATTTCTATTATTATTATTATTATTTGATGGTTTAATTAAAATATATTCTATTTGTTTTGAAAGTATACAATGGGTGCGAGCGGTTAATTCATATGATCTCAGTCACGAACACCGTGTCATTACAATAGCAATACTATATAATATACTACTATTTTGTATCTATTGTGATTGTAGATTACAGTTATATATATATATATATATATATATGAGACAATCGGTCGCATGTATATCACGAAACGTCCATGGTGTGTAAATTGCAGTCTGTTGGCGGATTTAAAATAAACAGGACATCGGTTAGTCCGAACCGGAACCGGAGGACACTGCGAGGGTGTAATATAGACCTCAGTATTGTACTAGATATAAATGCGAGAAGGTAGTTTTTTGCTGTTTTGAAATTGTATTTTTTTTTTTTTTGATAACACTCAATAGAACCATTGAGTTAGGTCAGTACCAAGAATACCAATAGGATTTTTTTTTTTGGGGGATGTTCACTTTTATTTTAACATATTTTCAGCCATACGGCTTGTTTCATCCGAACAGATGATAAAATTACAACGTTTATGGTGTACTAGGTTTGTCTTAAGAGGACGTTATACATCCAATTTTCTAGTGTTAAAAAACATACCTACGCAGGTCGCAGAATACGTTTTACTCGCTACGTAATGATTTTAGAGCAAAAATACCTAAAAAGCAAATGGAAACGAAAGATAAGGTTTTGGAGACAACGTCATATCCTTCTTTCGATAAACTTAATAATTAACATTTAAAATCACATTTTTCTTGAAAACCGCCATCCTATTAATGATGCTGTGATAGTCCGAAAATAAAAATTAACTACCGAAAATGAGTTCTAATTACTAAGCTAATAATTACACGCATTACAGTTTAAGCCTTAAATTAAGATTTTACAAATAAAATATGTTTTGTACCTAACTCCTAAATAAATTGGGGGTATCACGTTTTCTTAAGGGTCGTGTGAAATAAGTTGTTTTTTATTGATTAGAAAACTAGTCTATCATCTGTAGATTGTTCTCTTAAATATTTAAATTGTCATTTAAAGTCTAAATATACCTATAGTGTACCTTTATAGGCGCACTCTAGTGGCGTGTTCCAAACCGTGGTATGTGGTTTGGTGAATTTTACCTTAACTTACTGGCCTTCCGCCTTTGAGTGAATCTAAAAGTGTATTACAGTGTTTTTACAAAAAAAAAGGTGGTGTTTTTTTTGTATTTTAGATTCAAACAAAGCGTATAAACGTGTTTTAACAGAAAAATGTGGAAATATTTTTTAGATAATTAGAGCAACCTGTACGCTACACGGCTCAAAATTAAAATACCAAATTCTAGGAGCTGTATCGCCACAATTTTTAATTTTTTCGATATGAAATTTTGTAATTAAATAATTTAAATAGCCAATTTCATGATGTTATTTATTTTATTTTAATAAATCTTACCATTTTTTTTTAAACATCCTGGAAAAACGGCATTTTACATGACCCCCTCCCCCCCCATTAAGCCCAAACTTATGTACCTAAATTTTTAAACGACTCGAAGAAGAAGCTCCGGATTTTTTCTGTCTCGAGCAAACGACCATTTGTATGTTGTTACACGATCGTTTACGTGACATGCCGGAAACACGGTGTACGCACTGTTGTTTAGGCACGACGAAATGATTCTTATTTCTTGTTACTCACGCTGTTCCGTCTACGTTCGGATGATATGTGTGACAAGTGCTTACAGTATAATATAATACACATTTGCTATCGTACATGGCCGTTGCGGCGCGTGTTAGGGATGCCACATCTATAAAACCGTCTAGCCTAAGACGGATTTGCATACAATTAAATAATTTTGCATCGAAAAAACAAGGAGAAAATCCGGACGAATCGACAGGCCGTGCCGGATGGATTTCCGATTTGCCCATAGTCTTTTCCGACGACAATATAATAATATAAAGATTGACAACATACGCGCTGTATAATATTAATAATATATTAAAACACGGTAACCACCGTCTAACGAGTATAGGAATAACTAACGCCCAATAACAATAATAACAACAATTACCATCGCGTCTACGGGGACAACTACCGGTGTTTTTGCCGCCGTTTCTCTAACGCGCTTGCCGTAGCAAAAAAAAAAAAAAAAAACGAAGAAAAAAAAGATTGTCGACTAACCGGAGAAGATACCGAAAGTGAGTCTGAAACACGCACACTAATGGCGCAGCATCCTGTCATTATAAGTTCATTAATTACAGTGATAGATTCTCCCGTTTGCTACAGTTTAAAACAGTTTTTATATTTTCTTCCGCCGCCGCCGTCAGTTGTTAAATAAATTCCACAGCGACATCATTAATATTATCGCACGACTGACGTCGAACCCGACCGTGCCCCTCCCCCTCCGCCGGCCCATCATCTTCGTCGATCGCCAACCCTTATCCGAGACCTAAATGGAAAACAAGATTAGTGAACATCCAAATGACGTATGCTGTTTCGTTATTTTTTGCCCACCCTCTCGGCCCCTTGTTAGCGGTGTAGCTGCTATACAGTGTTCACTTCCCCTGCAAACTAACAGTTATACACGGCATTCCGATATGCCGTTACCGCGCTGTGGATGCCCATCAATTTCTGACTGTTATTGCGCCGGCTATCCACTCTTCAGTTGGGGCTGCACAGCCACATCATTAGCATCGGGGGTCTTTTATCAAATTCGCTTTAGACAAAAGAGAGACGGACAGAAAAAATTGCCGACGACCGTGACGGATCTCTACAGCTATTATAATAGAGTTTTTTCTTATTAAATACACATTACATATAAAACACAGTGGTGTCTAGATCGGGGACATCCGTGAATTGCGAAGGTAATACTTGTCATTATCAACCGAGTATAACCATTTCAAACGGATTGCAGCGTTTTTGGAAGGTTGATACGTGCTCGGTAGTTGTGATCTGGCCTTTTTAAATGTACAAAAATATGTATCATTTTAATAATAAATCTAGTTAGGGGAGGTGTTATAAATTATAACTCCGAACCCCTAGCTCCCCCCCCCCGGATACGCTTGATATAATATAGTCACCACTCTCCGTGTTTCTAATCAATTGTTTTCTTTATTCGCTTATTCGACGATAGTTAAATCGAATCTGGCAGGTATATCTAAAAAAGGTCAACAGAGTTCATTTTATAGATTATAGGTTCATATTATTATAACGAATTGTTGTTTAATGTCTATTTGTACTATATACCTGTAGTTCGCTTACTCTTGATGCGTCAAAATAGATTGAGATACCAAACCTACTATTTTTAATTATTTTTTTTTAATCAATTCAACAACCACGGACGAGTTCCACGCGGTTTGACACTAACGTCCAAAATGGTTAATCGATTATCGTCTCCTATAAATAGAAAACCAGTCGTGTTTAACAACACAATAGTGTATATACCTATTCAGAGTTATATTCTTCGGGTACAGTCATATTCATAATAATTCATATGATTACAGTAAGTACATTGCACGCGTTATACCCATAGGGTATGGGAATATGTTTTCTTCTTCTATTTATTGTCTTCTAGCCAAAGCTAACCACCTTAATTATTATCGGGCTTATTATTGTTATATGACAGAAATGGGGGACAGATGGCGGTATTATTATTATGTTTTGGCCCAACGTGGGCTGTTTGGATACCGGATGTGGGCATGATTATATATATAGGTACGTTCTTTATATTTATATATTATTATAATCATTTTTTTTTTTTTGATACTTAACGACGTGTAATAATATTATAAACAACGTTATGATTTCAGATCAATAACAATA